GTACTGAACATTGTGATAATAGTTCTTTTTTTTTTTTGTGAAAATTGTTAAAAAGTTATTAAAGGTATATGAATGCAAAACTGTAACATTTGCATTAATTTACTTCAAATCATTATGAGGAAGTACAGGTGTACCAATAAGAATGTACAAAAAAAGTATGAAAGTCGTTAGAACTTGGAAAGATAGCGATGGCTGAAATAAAAAGTGTTTCACCATGTTACAGTTTTGCCCGTCACTGTATATGAATGTATGTGCATTAGGCTGGGTAAATTTTGATTTTAATGAATCGCATGGTATTTCCTGATTCTACAGATAATTCTAAGAGAGAGTGTAAAAGAAACCATGAAAAAATTACCTTTTCACGATATTAGTTTTTTAACCTTTTCTTAAAATGTCTGTATTTAAGTTTCTTACATTTCCTTTATTTATATAAACCATTTTTAAAAAGCAAATCGTTACCTAAAGGTGAAAATGTGACGCAAAGTTAATTTTTTGAAGTTTTTCAGGAGAGAGTTTCGCATTTTCTGTCATTCTGCATCAAAAACTAAATTTTCAATAAAGTGGACTTGGCACGTTTTCACCCTTAGGTAGCGAAATACATCTGTTTTGCGAATTTTTAACTTAAAAGATTAACAAACATTAAAAAGAAATGGTTTTCGATATGAAGGCGTCTAGGACTTACCGTTGATTTTTGCCAATTTTTTTGCTGAAAATGCCTCTTCTATACAAAAATTACTTTATTTCAACAAAAAAGTGATAAAAATCTACGTTAAATCTTAGCTAATTGCACTTTATTTTAATAAGATTGAATGTACCATGAAACTTTATACTCAAAATCTTTCTAAGAAATCCATCTAAAAAGGTGCTATTTTTTTGGTTCTGAGCCAACTGTGAAGTTCCAAGTCTCTAGCTCATCGGGAAGTTGGCCAAAAATTTATTGCAAGATTTGCCTCTAACATACGTACATACATGCAAACAGAGCAAGTTAAACAAAAGCTTGTAAAATAAATCTTGTTTATTCGTTATATGGAAGCAAATGCGACAAAAAAAAAATGCAAAAAAATCAACGGTAATTTTTAGCCACTTGAACTTGAACATTATCAGACTAAAAGCTCAGTTATGCAAGACTTAGACTTGACTTGAAAATTGTATATCTGGCAAATGAGTTACGCGTGTATGTAGTTACCCAAAAAACAACTTCACTTAGAAACTTGGAGAACTATAGATTTAGGATTTCTAAGTTAAATTACTAAGTGCAAAGAGAGCCGTGAGAGAATTATTCTGCCATTTCATAATAAAATCCCTACAAATATGTCACACAAATATCATTTTGTATATAAATGGGCACGTTCAGAAGGCGCAACAGCTCAGTAACTGTTGCGATTTTACCTTCTGAATGCGTTGTTGTGTACTTCTGATCAACTCAACAGTTGCGTGTTAGATGCTCGTAATATTTTTCTGATCATTTGAGACAACATGTTGCTGTGTACCTTTGAGAGTTGAATTTGACAGTTAATGCATCAAGCCGTTCAGAAGACGCATAACGTTCACTGATTTTTTTAGAAACGGTTGCGCTCAACTGATGCGTCTTCTGAACCTACCCAATAAAATAGAAACCATCACAATTTGATCCGCGTAAGTACATTTGTTTTGATGGTAATTTTGTATAAATTTTGGTGTAAAAACAAATTAAACGTTTACAATTTTAAGAGTAGGTACAAATACAAGTGCTGAGAATGAAAACAAAGAGAAAAGGTAATAGGTGACACGCTGAGTAATCGCGTCTAAGTTTCTAGGTAAGTCAAGACAAGTCTAAAGGTACTGGCCCAATGCAGGCTTGCTTTGCTTTGAGAACTGTCAAAAGTTATTTGGAATATACTAAAACGTATGAAGGCTGGCCAAATGGTAGCTTTCCTTCACTTGCTTTAAGCGCCTCAAAGTTTGAAATAAGCGAATGTTTTATTTGAACGCTTTTTGTAGGCTTTTGACAAAAAGGTATGTTCCCATTCTAAACGAATTCAAACAAACTGCTGCACACTTTTATGAACAAAAATTTGCTTACGTAATTAAAAAAAATATATAATATAAGTAATTCAAAGCTTAATAGAAAGGATTCTATGTTTCCATATTTATATTTAACATATCGCTGGCTGAGAAGCAGCTAAGACCATTATTACAGATTTTACAGGAACTTTAAATACAACATTTGACGTGTTTAAAGCAAAGCAAAACTCCATACGAATCAGAAGGATTGGATCTTTCTTAAAAGATTTCGTAGCATTTTGGCCTTATGGGATTTTCGAGGCCTTTTTTGGACTTAGAAAATTTGCCTTTCATTGAATATAAACTAGAAAAAAATAAAACAAGTACCTTAATCCTTAATTTATCTTACTTTCTATATCAAAATATCAGGTTTCACAAAATATGGACAACTTTTCACACAAAGAAGCTAGCGATATTTATGATGTCAAACTACTGGTCAGTCGTCTCTTGAAAAATTTGAGTTTTTTTTGTTTTGAATAAATGTAAATTTAGCTGTATATGTATAATTATTATTATTCCTTTGAAATGCAAATTTTAATTTGCATTAATTTAAAATAAATCTGAAAAGACTGTTTTGTGTTTCTTTTTTTTTAATTTTCTGGAATTCTGTGGGGAAAATTTTTCTTAGTGTAAGGGAACAGTCCTTGATTTTTTAACTCACAGCTGGTAGCTTTGACAGCGTTCCAAGCCTCTATTTGACCAAACGAGTTTTTGAAGTAAATCAAAGTAAATTGATGTAGGTAAGGCGTGCAAAGCAAGCTTGCAGCTTTAGCAGAACGATTCTGTGCACTTAGTAAATATACATTTTTTATAATTGGTCAGTTTTTTATTATTTATCAAGAATTGCAATTCTAGCACAGAAATCAAAAGCTATTTTCTTGATAAATTATCAAGATTGAAAATGCTATTATCAAGCGTTTACAAATTGAAATTTCATATGGAAGTTATAAGTTTTGTGTATTAAAAAATTTGTTTCTATCATTTAAATCAGAGGTTCCCAAACGTTTTTAACTCGTAGACCCCTTTCAAAAATTTACTGGTTTCGGTGGACCCCCTGCTGATACAATAAATAAATAAAATAAATTTGCATCGAGGGTGAGTTCAAAAACTAAACTCAGAGTGGCCAAAATAAAAGTAAAATATTTTCTTGTGTTCTATTTATAAAAATAATGTGATTATACACTTGTAGGTTTTAAAAAATAGAGCTCGTAAATTCATCAAAATACTCTCTCGCTCGGAAGAGTTACTTTTGATTTATATGATGGATTTCATCGAATTACAACTTAAAAAAATCGATGACAAATAACCAAGCAATCAAGAAGCGCAAAAAGTGTTACACCGTCTCATCATATTCAAGGCAAGATGGGCAAATGGACAGTCAGGTGTTTGTGCCACGTGAAGTGACCAGTCAGCAGTCCAACAAGTTGTCTGCAGTGTCGTCTGCTCAGTCAGAGCAAAAAATTAGATAGACCTTGTGAGATTGAAGGCAACATGAGTTTTGCCCACCTGCGTCCCCTCGATGCCTCACAGTCATTTCTGAGCGAAGTATTCACCCAGTTTCTGATGGTGGCTTCGATTGCCGAAGGTGGGGGTGCTAAAACTGGTTGCGGACCGAGGAATACCTGGTCTGAGCCAACTCTGGCCAAATGATCAGATGTCTCATAACCAGGTACTCCAGAGTGACCTGGCACACAGAGTAAAACAAAGTGGTTATGCTCACCATCATATTTTAGTCGAGACTTGCATTGCCGAACTAGTTCGAAGTACTGGGCTGGTCAATGCCTTAAGTGCAGCTTGGTTGTCACTGTAGTCACGTAAACTCCTTCCCCTACACCTATGTTCCACCACGTAGTCCATGGGTTTGAGTATTGCAATTACCTCTCCCTGGAAGACCGAAGCATATTCCCATACAGAAAAGTGAAGCTTATCTCCATTAACCTCGAAAAAGACCCCAGATCATGACCCAGTTAGCTTTGGAGCCATCATTGAAGGTTCGACAATGTGTGAGTTCGGTCTCAGCGATGGAATCAAACCAGCATTCAGTCTCAGGGAACTCAACATTATAGAATCTCTGCAACAAAGGTAATGGTGGCGTACTATCCTGTAGCAATGAAAAGACACAAGTGCTTAAATCTCTGCTGCCAGCAATTTTCGCCACGCCCCACTCATTGTCATACCAGCATCCGGTTCTTTTTAGTCTGCAGGTGGCCTTTAAGGCTTCCCCACGTATGAAAACACATAGTGACAGTAAGTGCAGCAGTGCGTCAAGAGCACTATACACCACTCAAAAAAATTAAAGTTAAATAAAGAGGCTATAAAGCAACCGCTTTGGTTCTTTACATCGAAACCAGATAAATTTTCGTGAACCCCCATTTACAACTCATGGACCCCATATTTCTTTCACGTCACCTTGGGGGTCCACCTGGACCACTTTGGGAATCAGTCATTTAAATACTGCGCCGGCATTTGAACTAGAGCGGGGATACTATCGATAGTACCACCACTATATAGTTTTCGACACGATAGATGAAAACATCGATAGTATCGATAGTGATAGTACTATCGTGAAAGGTATTGAATTGAAACGCTCAATTGCTTGAAAAGTAAATTATAAATTACTTTGTAAATTAAATAACAAAATAAACTTATTAATTTATGCGTCTGAATTGTATTGTACTTATATACACTGAGAAAAGAGTTTAGTTACGTCAACTAAATATGTTTTTCTCAACACATGATTTAGGTATAGTCACATTATTTGGTTATAGTTACCAAATCATGTGTTAGTAGAAATATATTTGGCTGACTTTTTTCTGAGTGTACATACATTTGCATCCACTTTATTAGCGACAGGCGAAATCAGTATTTATTTTTTATATGGAAAATTAAATTCGAAATTTGTTTGTCCCTTTTGCAAGTGCAAAGACATATGTATGAATATATTTGAAAGAACTCACCACATTTTTACTCCGCTGCGAACAAAACGGGTTTGATATTCGAAAATAATGTGTACCTCCGATCACCAAGCGATCTCCATGCAACATTTTACGACGCTCAGTCACAAGATCACCATTTAGATAAGTTTCGAAATCTTTATTTTGAGGTATTATAAACAGCTCGCTGTCGTTATTTTCAATTATACTGAAACACAATGTTGATAATTAATTATTCTATGACATGAAATTGATAAATACCGAAACCTACCAATGGTGATAGGCAACCAATGGGCCGTCGAGTAAAATATCCGGCTGACTGCAATAGGTGGATGTGCGTGTGCGACCTATTTTCACCTGTCCAGGTGGTAAAATATAAAATAGTGTATTGCTAAATATGGCATCTGCAGTCAAGTTTACAAGACACGCATGCTTTTGATCCGTTGATAATTCCAATGCCAGCCCTTTACGCCGAAGAAGCCGCAATTCAGATTTTCGCTGGTCTTCAGCTTCTTTCAAGCGTTGCATCCATGACTTTTGAGCTCTATCCAACTCTCTTTCGCGTTCGGCTAATTGCTGCCGCAAAGCTTCAACTTCACTCTCATCAACTGATGTTTCAATGATAATTTTTCTTGGCGTCGGATTACTATTGGCCGACAGACGACGCTGGCGTTCATATTCATTCCGTAGTGATTTCAGACGGTCCACTTCCGCGCGTAATTCCCTAATTATTTTATCGTGAGGTGACTCGTTCACTTTCACCCGATTGACTATAGTGCGCGCTTGACAAGCATACCGCAATGTGGCCAGAGTTTCATCAATATTAACATTAGCTGGGGAAATGGTAGCAAGCATAACCGTCTTAGAATTGCCGCCAAGATTTTCCTAAAAAAAGCGTGAATTTGGTTAATATTTATTATCAAAATGTAAAGACAATCATTGTTATCAGAAACTAAAATTTATCGAAATTTCACGGTTATGTGATTTTTTTTATACATACATATGTACATACCTATTCGATATTTTGACATATGTACATTAGACTGCCTCACCAAAAAAGTTGCGATCTTTCCGCCGGAATTACAAAATTGATTATATTTGAAGACGTCCACCAGAATATTTCGGAAAAATATTAAGATTTACGTGAGCTGGACCGATTTGAAAATACCTAGAAATAGGGAGTATTTTATGAATAAAAATAGTTTATTCAAAAACTTTTTGAAAACAATTCCCTCAGATGACAAAACAGATTAAGCTTAAAAAATCTGCATAAAAATATTTACAAATCGTTTCAACGGAATCGTAATAATGAGATATTTGATTCTGTTTTTTAGCCTTTTCAAAGATTGATTTACGAAAAACTTGAATAACTGGGCCAAAACTATTCTTTTTATTTCTGTGCAATAAACAAAAAACTCATTCAAGTCCCAATTTTTATTTTCAAATACCAACACATCTTAATTCAACTTGGAATGACGCTGGTTCATCCTAGTTTTCATATTTTGAATGAGTTTATTAGCAAAGAAATAAAAAGGTTGAGAAAATACCTTTCCAATAATTCCTCACAAGTCTAAATCGGAATAGTTTAGGTTCAGTTATTCAAGTGTTTCTTATACCAATCTTTGAAAAAAGTAAAGAAACAGCATCAAAAATCTCATTATTATGATGCCGTTGAAATTAAAAAAAAAAAAATTTTAATAATCTTATGCTAATTTTTAAGCTTAAACCGTTTTGTCATTTGAGGGGATTTTTTCAAAAAAATCTTTAAAAAACTATTTTGATTCATAAGAAACTCCATTTTTGGAGGTACTTTCAAATCGGTCCAGCTCACGTAAATCTTAATATTTTTTCGAAATATTTTAGTGGAAGTCTTAAATATAATAGATTTTATAATTCCAATGGAAACACGGCACAGCAATGGGGAGTGATGCAGTCTAATGTACATACATTATTTTAGTTTAGATTTTGTCCGTCATAGTAAACTAGACTATTCTAAAACCCCGAAATGGTTTGAGTCTTAAAATAAATATAGTTTAAAAAAACTAAAAAACACGCTTTTAAAGCATATCAAACTAAAAAGTAAAAAAAAATTCTTAATGTAAGTTGAAAGTAATAATGAACAAAAAATACTAGTATTATTGTGAAAAAGTGTGGGTTGCTCGATAGACGAAAAATATGGCAAAGAGCGCCCCACGCTTTTTCACAATAATACTAGTATTTTTTGTTCATTATTACTTTCAACTTACATTAAGAATTTTTTTTTACTTTTTAGTTTGATATGCTTTTAAAGCGTGTTTTTTAGTTTTTTAAACTATATTTATTTTTAATTTTTTAGTTCGATTTATTGTTAAAAATAAAATTTTTTCTAAATGCTCGAGTGCTCGAGTGCTCGAGCCGGAAAGTAAGTAGACGGTACGCATGCGCAGACAGCGTAGTTGTCTCACTTGCTCTCACACAGAGGCTGTGTGAGGAAATTATTTAATCCTGGCGATCCTAATCAGGATAATGAGATAAATTTATGAAATTATTATATTGTCGCTGATTCTTGATAAGTGTACAAAGTTTGAATTAAATCTGTCCGTTTAAAGTGGGTCAAAATCGAGTCCAAAGCAGTCGATTACAAACATACATACATACAAACATACAGGTGAAGCTAATTAAAGGGTGTTAAAAACGGTTTTATGTTTCTCTAAATGAATTTATTCATAAAAATTTTAAAAATTAATCAGTGTCTCGTGTGTATATGTGTTGTTTTGATCGATGACCTTCTGCAAACTTTTACGGCAAGACCTTGTGGAATTTCTGGACACATTAGAAGAAGGCGGTGAGGTGCTCTACCTCCCTCCCCCGGTAGAGCTACCGCGCCATCTAGCGGGTGTGAGAAGTGTTTAGTATAAACAAATCAAATAAACCAAAAAAATTATTTTATTTTATTAAATATATCTATGTACTTATATTTATTCAATACCCTCTATCTGCAATTTTCACAAAAACTACTTTGTGATGTTAGAACCCATCTGGGACTTACTTGACATCACTGATGTTAATTCTGAATTTGCAATTTAATTGTAAATTCTTCTGTCAAGCGTTATACAAGGTCAGCATTAATATCGCCGATGACAATTAAGTCTTAGGTGGATTTTCATATCAGAAATTAATTTAATGGAATGTGGAGGATTGAAGGCAAGTCGTTGAGCCATTAAATATTTTTTTTCGGGTTTGGAAGTGCTGATAAGAGAAAGCACAGTGTAATGAAGGATTTTAAATATTATAAATGATATCGTTGTTTGTCTGTTTGTATGTTTGTAGTGTGATAAAAATAGAAATTTGAGGAAATAAAATGTGTGGAAAAATATAATTCGTTTTTATTTAAAGAAATAGGGTTACAATTTAGCATTTATTATTGTATGAAAGTGCAATTTTTTACCAAATATAATTGTTTTTTACGTTTATTTAAATTAATAAAATTTTATAAAGAGATTTACATTATTATCATTTATTTCTATAATTGCATATTTTTCTTGTTTATATATACATAGTCGTAAAGGTTGCTGAACTACAATACGCGTCATACTATTTTTAAAATATAACTAAATGGTTTATAAAAGCCCATTTCGAAGAACGATCCAACTGGCTGGTTCTCCGTCAGATGGTGTTCCATGTATTCATTTATTTCGCTGACAACGCAATCCTCCAACTTCTCCAAAAATAGCGGATCCTCAAACCACTTTTCTTTAAAAATGTACCGTTCCATATCCATAGATGAATCCATGTGCATGTTGTCCTCAGTCTTGAAGTAAAGGTTCTTCGTTTCCTTATTAAAATATATTTTGTCTATGTTTAGAACCTCATAACATAATAGATAGTCAGTCATTGGTTTAAATATTTTTTCCGAATAATTTTTACTTGATGACTTTTCTTTTTATATGTTTCTGTTTTGATAGAAAAGTGGATTGTAGGCAGTTGTGTACACATCAAATAGTTTTTTTGCGGTTGTGTATCGTTGATAAAAGAATGCGCATACACATGCATTTATTAGCGTGGGATATACGCAATCATATTTATGAATTCCTGTGGTTGTTAATTTAAAAACAGTAGTTTTATAATATCGCAACTCGTTGATTATGTCCATGAAAAGTTTAACATGCTCTTTTTTAATATAACAACTATATGTATTTAAAATTTCTCCAATTCCGCTGCTAACATTTTTTTAAACAAATCTCAAATACGTTTAAATTTATAGTGATGGAAAATGTATACATATGTGTTTTATCGTTTTAATTAGAAATTTTTTTATCGAATGTATTAATCCCATATATAAAATTTTTTGAATCAATATTTTCCTTATTTTCTCCATTATAATAGCGATTATATAAATTTATTAATTTCACATTTTTATGTTGTCTTTCTGTGATATAGCAATTACATGTATCAGGTCCTGATTTAGCATTATTATTACTCCAAGGACAGATCGTATAATGTTTTCCATATATAGTTTTTATCCAAGACCCATTTTCCGTCTGTTTAGTCAATATACATCTATTTTGTATAATGCTTCTATGGTGGTCTAATATACGTTCAAAATTCCTCTCTAGAAATTCTTCACTTTCATAACTTTTCATATTGTCCTATTTAAATATTCGCTAAAAAAATAAGAACTACTTGAATCAGCTTTTAATTTTAACTAAATTCTATTATTTCATCATATCGCTATATACATATGTATAAGATATCGCTATATCTATATACATATTAAACTCCTGCGCAATTCCATTTAAACGGCCCAACAAGACATCCGATCGCCGCGCAAATACTTTCCCTCCTTTACTCTCATCGTTCAGGTCAAGTGTGAGTAAGCATAAACCAGTTTCTGCAAGCGTACGTAAACTACCGATCAATAGCAAGACGCGTAGAGTATTTACTTTGCCTTCCGCAACTACTGCGAGTAAAAGATATTTGACAGTAGAGTACTGTACTGGTAGTACTTGAGTATTTTCGAAGAAAACATACATTTGTGGTATCTGAATAAAACTATGGACAGGAATGTAGTGGAGCGATGAAGAGAGCGACGAGCAAAACGTACTTTCAACTAAAATGCTGATATACATACCTAAGTACATATGTATGTATGTGCATAGATACATACATATATAAGTGTCCGCATATATTTTTTTCTCGTCACTTGCTCTGTCGCTTCACTGCAGCAAAACCAAGTTGTGGGGAAAACCCTGACGATATGCGTACCATTGAAACCATGGGTTTGAAGATAGCTGATGTGAAAATTTCAATTTCATATTAAATATATTTATGTATGCATGTACATAACATCGTCTCAGAAAACGGATGTCGAATGTTACAAAACACGGTTTTGAGAAAATTGACGTTGAAGTTTAAGGTCGAATTAATCCGAACTGTACGGTAGATTTTTGTAATTTTTGAAGGAGACGTAGTTGGTGTTATTAGTTTTGATTTTCCATATTTTTACATTTAATATCTCTTAACGTTAATGAGAAAATTGACTTTTCATTCCGTATACATTTGTCGTAAGTAGCGTTTACTCACCACTTTGTTTTGTCCACAGAACATACGACAATAGTAAAGTATCTATTTCAACGACGATGGTATAATTTGATGAAAAAACCAGACATATTTATTAAATAATGATTACTTATTAGAAAAAAAAATAACAAAAACATAATCATGTATTTAATAAAAAAAATCTGTACATCTCTTATGCTGTAAATATGTTACGAACATACGTTTTCTTTATATAAAAACAAAAAACAATACTTAAATTCAGTCTTTTGTACATTTTTATTTCTTTCATTTCATTGGAGACTCAGTGCAAGCTAAAATTTAAAAATTTAAAATTTTAAGATTAGTTA